AAATATTCGATATAAGGCTAGATATATATGAATAGTAAATGGAAGTTATTAATAGTATAATATGTACTTCCTATAGGCTATAATGCATTTATTTTATTGTTCTATTTGTAAACAGATAAAATTAAAAAGTTTTAAAAAAGAAACTTAAAATTGAAAGTTAACTTTTATGTATACTTAGTAGGTCTATCGTTTAAATATAGTATTAATAGAAAAATTTAACTAAAATATACCCTGAGGCTAGGATCACACTATGCGTTTTGTCGGTTCCCGATCAACCGGAGCCAAACCGCAACACTCTAAAATAAAATAGGTTTAAATATAAAACGCGTTATCAGGGCCAGACTAGACCGATTTACGGAACCGATTAAAAACCGTCGGGAAGCGACCGCAACGTGTTGCGGCCCAACCGTCCGGTTGCGTTTCGGGATGTAAAGCACAACACATGCAATGCAATTTGTCCGATCACATTTGTGCGGATTATCGGTAACCGAAATTGAAAATTTTATGAATAATTAATAATCATTTTTAAATTTAAATAATTAAAAAACTTAAAATATATTTGTAATATACATATATATATATTATATTTTATTTATATTATAGATGTATATTATTATTTATTAGCATAATTAGTTGATACACGTTTTAAATAAAAACAAATAATTCTAATTACACAACCTTTTTATTATTTTTTTACTTATAATACTAGATACATTTCGTTTAAATAAAAAATCAGTTTAAAATTTAAATTTAAATTAAAAACGATTTTCGGGCTTTTTAATCTCATTTGTATGTATTCGGTTACCGATAAAACGCACAGTATGATCGATCGTCCCGATTGCGGTTAATCGGGATAGTATTTTTCGGTTGCCGACAAAACGCATAGTGTGATCCTAGCCTGATAGTTTTTAATGCTTTTCTTAAAACAAATTAATAAATTATATGATTACCATTTATGCAGTGACATAGCGAAAGGGCATTTGATAAGCACATGCATACTTCTCAGAAAATCTTTATTAAAATTGATTTATCTAATATATGTAAACTAATAAATTTTACATTTAGACAGTAGAAACTAGAAAGTAAAGACGAGTTCTAGGATTTCCCCTACCTATTAATAAGCTTGAGGTAACAGGTAAGAATAATATAATATTAATATGAAAGTATTGATAATAAAAATTACTTAACTGAAACTTTATCTAATTAATATGTACCTACTATAGGTACTTTAAGTAAACATTTAAATAAAGTAATATAGGCGAGTGTACAATTAGTATAATATTATAGCAATATAATATGATGGATTTGTCTGTTTACTCATTTCCAATCAAACCTTAGGACTTGAAAGTATTTATTTTAGAATTATGAGTTAAGTTCACACCGAATACTACTCTAGTATATTAATGACTTTTATCAGTTATAACTTGTTATAAAATTATTATTATTTTTTAATCATAAAAATAATTTAAACTTTCTTCATAAAAAACAATAATCTATTGATAAAATTAAAAAATCCGTTATTGAGATGATAAAAAATAATAATTTACAGTATAAAATTACAAATTTGATTAAAAAACCATCAGTCTCATGTGCATTTATCGCAACTCCAAAAATTCAATGTTTATGTTTTTATATTTTAATTCATAGAAAAATAGGTTCTATAGTAATCGTCGTTAAATATTATAACTACTTTAATTGGAAATTTATCATATTATAATATTGGCTGTTCTTAAATCGACGAATTAGCCCAAAATTAAAAATCATGATAAAATAAGTAAATCATTTGAACTCGGTTATTTATGATTTCTGATAAGGATAATTAAACAATGATTGTTGATAATTGTTTTTATTGATATTATATTTAAGGTATTATTAGCTTACTTGAAAATTCATTAATGTATGGATAAACGTCAGTTGGGAATTAGGCAAATGATTAAGAAGATTATCTATTTTTGTACCTACCTATGCCAAATCCTAAATATAAAAATAGATATAAAGCGCTATCTGTTGAATTTACGGACACAACAGTATATATTAATAAATGTCCGCTTGAGAGCAGCACTAAGCAATAGTAAATGATCTTGAAAATAGAGCGCGCCACAGCTCCATACAAGAAGTAAGGATTACTAAAAAATTTATTTACACCTTTTTCGCAATGTAAAAAATAAATTGTAAAATTTTCGTGCAGTTTTGAAGTTTACCATGAAAATCTCCAATCGGATTTATTTTACGATCAATAAAAAGTAAGCATTTGTTTGAACATTTTTTTTATCATTTTACAAAGTGTGATTATACTATAAAACTTAATTTTTACATCATCACCCGAAGATAAAAGTATAAAAAAGTTTAAGTTAACCTGTCATCATATAAGCATTAATGCATTATAAAAGTTAATCAACACCTTAACACGTAGGCCACTTTATTGTAGCCTTTAGGGCCTTTTGCGAACAAATAAAACTGGAAAGAAATTTTTCTAATTAATGCTGTTGAAATTTATTGCTCACCGTACTTTTATGTTAATCGTATAAAATGTGTATGAAGTGGTAAATTAATGTTCTGCACAATATACAACACGCCACTCATTATTTTATAGACTTATTATAAACCATCGTAACATTATCGCGTTAAAAATATATGTTCATATATTTACTACAAATAGAATTTAAATAGGTTACTATAGTTAAACTGTGTTCTAGTGTGTATATGGGTATAAATAAAAAATATAAATAATATAAATAGTATAAATATAAGTATATAAAATATAATATATAATATGGTATATAGTATAAATCAAAACGTTATTATTTATATACTTATATATTGTGTTAATTTGTTGGAAAATTGATGTTGCACAATTCTAATAATAATAATAATAATAATAATAGAGGTGTCGTTTGCAAGATGCAAGGACGTGTCCCCATGGGCGAAGCTAGGATTTTAATCAGGGAGTGGGGGGCAGTTGAAAACTTTTTTTTTGCTTTTTCGATTATATAGTAAAATTTACACGTTTGGTATATAACTATATAAGAAATAGAATCTAGTTTAAAGCGCAAAACTAACCTGTCCCACCCTTGCTACGCCCATGTGTATACCTATTTGTATTCTATAAATTGTCTTTGAGTGGTTAATAGATTTATTATTGAAATTGATCACAATATGTAATGAAGTACTATTTTTTTTCCGCATAATTACATTATAAGTAGGTACAAGGTGGTACCTATATATAAATCTTATCACATAAAGACAATAGATATTATGATAAAAAAATTGAAAAATATCTGTAAATACATTGTGATAAGTTCTAAGAACTGCCGAATCCGAATATAATATACAAACGTTAGTGCTGCTGCCGAGATGGATTCGTTTCGGTCGTTTAACAACTACACGCGGTCGCGGCTTTCTTGCAATGACCAAAATGATGGGTTTTGCGACTTCTCAGACAGGACGATTATACGGTATTATATTATAGTCTGTATGCCGTACTATAGGATTATACATGGGTGTACCTATTTTCACGTCACGCGCGAATACCAGGGCACATCGATGCTGCTACGATATATAGCTGTCTATTTAATAATAATGTACACTTAGGTACATTATACGGGTTATAATTGCGGGTTAACGCAGAACCTTGGGTTCGACACACAAACACACACACACACTATAGCAGCAACCGTACATCTAACCCACGCGGAGATTCATGCGAGTGATAAATACGCAAAAAATATAACATGTATGATGCGTCCTGCAGCACATCGCAATATAATATATCGCGCACAAAATATAATATATAAAAGAGGGGCGAGTCGCGAGTGTATATAATGTTACATAATAATATACGTATAATAACGAAAAATGAAAAAAAAAACCGTATATTCGGTCAGATTTATAATCATAGGGTCTATATCGGCCGCCTCGACGTAAATGGCCAACGCAAAAAAACATATATATACGGTACCTTACTAGGGCATAATATATTACATTATTATATTATATGGTTTTTATTATTTTCGTATATCCATCGCACCGCCGTCATCGGGGCGGAGGCGACGATCACAACGACGGTCGGATTTACTTTTGGAAATAATTTTGTTATCGTCTCGTTCATTTTATATATATACATATATAATATAAATAGGTACATCATACGGTGGAAAGTAATAATGTGTCTTAGCACTATGAGTAGATCTTAGTGCGAACACTGCGAACCGTTTCCCGTTTAACATTGGCAAACGTCAGGCAAACGGTGGTGTTGTGGCCGGTTTTGTTAAAAAACTGTTAGTAAATATATATTTTTATCGTACGATATTGCGAAATAATAAGGAATAAGGTAATAATAAGGATTTTTAGTAACGACGACATTCGTGTAGCAGGTGATTACTTTAGAATGGTCTGATAAACCATAAAATTTTAATTTATACAATTCATTTTTAATTAGTACAAACAGTATAACTAAAAAACGTAAAAATTATGACAGAAATAAATCAATCAAATTGTCAAATAAAAATGTATTAAAAAATATTAATCGAATTAATTATAACAGTATTGATTTTCTATTCCATTAAAATTCGATGTACCTACGTACATGATTATATTCGATTAGGTCGATTGTATTACAGAATTGTCGGCATTGTAAGATGTACATTTCGTGCGTATAATAATATTATTTATAAGAAAATAAGAAAAAAACGCACTTTATCGACTTTTCTACCACCGCTAAAAAATAAATGTGTAGAACTTGACGGTTTCAAAATATTTATACAATTTAATTGAGCTCCGATTGCACTTGAAATAAGACAACTCATTGTTACATACGTCACGCGTAATATCATTGCGGCGGATAGATCACTTACACATTACACGAATGCTGCTACAACAAATGACCGTCGCGATTTACGACAAAACGATCGTCTCGTAACAAGTTATACATACTAATACAACGCGACATTTTATGATTTATTGTAAGCAAGTATAGTGTAGGTATATAGTCTGGTACTCACCCACGGAGCGGCGCAATCGGCGCCCGACGACAGCGGCTGAAAAGCCGGTACGCATCTGAAAGTCATGTCAATCTCGTCGACGGCACGGCAACAGCTGCAGGTGGTTGTGGTGGTGGTGGTGGTGGGGCTGTTTTGTGTTCGACTTTCGGTCACAAGTTACCTGCGAGGAAAACGTAAAATATTAAAATAACATTTAGCCACTCTGCGACTACGTGTATATTGTATATATATATATATACATATTATGAGCGCATGTCGTTAAGTCGAAAACCCCGTAATTACGGTGGTCGTCATATATATCTGTATATATATATATATATATATATATACTATATAGTACGCACGATATTATATAATATATGTATGCTGTGGGTATATCGTATACCTATATAGGTATAACGACCGTGCAACAACGACCGTGATGTAAGTACACGATATTATTATTATGATATACATATTAATATAATATAACATGACTTCGTCGCAGCGTACCAGCGACCAGCGACGGTATTTAACGCGGTGATAATAATAATTAGCATGTAAGAAAAACATAAGTTATGTTATATATATATATATATAGGTACGCACGGGTTGAGATACCTGTACGTGAACGTGTAGCTACGGTACATAGTTAGGGCACGAAAAACGTAATTATAATTTACCTACGAATATTATGATATACGAATTTTACTCGAATATACTCGAAATTACAATCGTTTTCACGGCGCAGTAATTATTATTATTGTGAATAATAATAATCGTGATATCATAATATTTATTATATTATATAATAATATACACCAAAGCATGCGGCTAATCTCGCGATACGATACACTTTACAGGAAGTGTGTGTGTGTGTGTGTGCGCGCGCGCCCGTTAAAACCCTTTAAGGATAATAATAATTATTATACCTATTAAAAAATAGGTGTATGTATTTTCGTCAAATGTATATAATATACGTTATGTATAAAAGTTAGTGAATGATTAATAAAAATGGGGTGGACGAGCGTATATATATTGCAATTATTATTATATTCAGTGATGAGGGGAGAGAGATAGAGACCGCACAGAGGACATAATTATTATAATATACAGCATTTATTAGTATATATCTTAATATATAGCTTTTTTCCAAACATTTTATCTGAACATTGTTCGTAAATCGTTGGTAGGTAGTAGGTACCTATACATAATAATGTTACCAAATATTATCGCATTTACAAACATTATACATATGCATATAATTTGCACTGTCCTAATGTTTATAACGTTATATAATGTATATCAATGTATCATTAGATCAGCGCATGAGATCGAATCATTAAAAGGAATTTAAAAAATAATATACAGAGTACGCCCTGATATTGTAATACATAATCACGAACAAAAGAATTATTCGTAAACATTTATCGAAATACTATCAAATATAAATTAAACATTATTTACAATTTTAAATTACGATTATTTGAAATAATTTTTTTTTTTTTTTTTTGTCATGAATAATAAATATTATTACCGACGAGTTAACCTATACCTATGCGGTATACCTCTAACGAAGTAATAAATAATAATTGGCGATGTTACGTTATTTTGTTGATTCGATTTAAGTACTTTAAAATTTGATTAAGAAACTTATATATTATTGTTACGTATAAGTAATTGTAACGTTATTACAGATTTATAAGTTATAATAAATACCATTTTCGATTATCTTTTAATGAAAACAGTGGCACGTTTTATTTCCTATATGAAATCGTTTTCTATACCGCGTAATAATAAAAACTATTTCTATGACGTAAAGCTGAGCGGAAAACACGCCGGGCACGCGTGTTCGTCGCTGCTGCCGGTATTATTCGAGCATAATATTGGTAATTTATATTTTAAAATACGGTTTCCGTCGATTCGTTTATTGCTTATGTATAAAGTGTTTTTTTTTCCTTCCTTCTCCCGAGTATTTTTTATTTTTTTTTCGTAATTAACCGGCGTACGTGCGCTCGGCACCGAATTACGCGCGCGCGTGATATCGGGGGCTGGACCGAATATACACATATTATAGGTAAATTATAATATGTATATACAATACGTACGCCTGTAATAATAAATCGGCCACATACGAAAGGACAGGACGTGTATACCTATTTTAATATTATATTATACATATAGCTGGTACACTGGACGCGGCAAAACGAGAAATATATTTTATAATTGCTTGTTACACTACACACTCGCTCACTCACTCGAACATTTCTGGAATTCAGTTCTCCGGTAGCCCCGGCCGCGGCGATCGTAATAATAATGATAATTTTTTTTTCCACTCAATACAAGAGTTATTATTTTTACTTTTCCGTCCGTCTGCATGTACACTGCAGGTATGTGTAATACGTTCATTTTCGGCGCACCGTCCGCATTCCAAAAGAAGAAAAAATATCAAACAGGTAGGCATAATATTATTATTATTATTATTACGGTTTTAATAACGCGCCGCGTTCGAAATTAATGCAGCACGGGTGTACGAGTATCGACGATATTTCGGTGTTCAACGTTTGTTCCCGAAGAGAATCGTTCGAAACAATCAAATCGCTTTATTGTAATTTTTTCTTTTTCCCTACCCGTCTGTACACATACACGTATATATTATAGTCTCGCCGAGGATAATACGAGTCTGGCGTTATAACTGCAGTACATCCAAGGCGCTTCAGCGCTTGTGTATCATCGCATACACGGCGGCGGCACCGAAACGATATCATTATTTATTTTTTTCTTTCCAAAGTTCTCAAACGAATTGAAACGACGCCCGTTACTATCTAAGTATGTATTTTCTTTACCAGTCGGCAATAAAACGGAAATTATACACATTAAATCATAACGCTCGCACGCGTTTCCGACGTCTACAAATAACTACTAATAAGTACTGTATATCGTGATATGTATAGGTAGGTACGTACCTAAGGTACCTATATAAAATCGTCGGTTTCGTCGTGGCTGGCGTTAGTTTTTACGGGTAGGTACCTTCTTATATATTATGATAACGTTATATCAGCGTGTATATACTTACTCGTATAGTATCATTATAAATTTAAAGTTTAACGGTACAGCAAACGAATCATCGCAACGGCGTGTATATATATAGGTATAGGTACACGCACGAATCGCTGAACGTGTGCTAATCAAGGTGCTCAGTACGCGTTAATTTTAATAGTATAACACCTGCGATTGCCTTCAAATAATATTGATTAAAAATCTCGAACGCGTACCACAATAGGTCAAGATACACTAGTGGACTTCATATATCCATATATAGGAAGAGATGCAGTCCTTAATAACGATATTATATTTTAAATCAATATGCTGAAAACGAGCATATACGTTGTCGTCGAATGTCTGGTACGATTATTACTATAAAATATACAAATAAACTGTTTCGCGCAAGACGTTAACCTATGTATAATCCGTTATTTAAATACATAATGAATTTAGTTTTATTAATTATAATGTCTTATATTTCAGATGTAACGAAAATGGTATGGTATTTGTATGATGATTGCTAGGGCCTAACTCTTTTAAAAACTGTTTGGTATTTAAGTTCCCCTCCCGTCCAATATTTTTGGATTATTCGCGTCTATTCTCTCCCGGACGAACTCGGCTTTCGATCATAATATCAGTGTAGTACTTATATGGTTTCTATCGGATCTGCTCGGTCTACTCAGTCCATCGTACACTGCAGTGCGTCTGGTCTCACGATACGCCCGGAACTGACCTGAAACCCACGGAAAGAGGACGACGAGACGAACGAAAAAAAAAACACACACACACACACAAACACAAAGTGCGTATACCTGAATTATTATAATATATATTATGTCTCTAAAAATACTAATAATTAGCACCCTAGCGCCTAGGTACACTGCAGGTATACACAGGTAACTATACGTTCGCGCGTATATCGTTGTGTCGGGTACGCCCATTCGATCGAACGGTCGTGGGGGAGGCAGTCGAGGATTTATAAGGTCTACAATATACACACATAGGTCAGAGGAGTGCACTGCAGACAAACGCGTATATCGCAAGCCGATCAAAACCGCGCGCTCAGCCAAGCCCTATAATAATAATAATCGCGCGAGCGTACTCACAGCGGTGCAGTGTACACTGTTATCGGCGTCGGACCATCTCTAATTCTTATAATCATTTAACGCGGCGGCGACGACGACGACGACCTCTTTATAAATCGTCCGATCCGTCCCATTTATTATATTATCATGTTTGTACAGGGTGATTCACCAAGCATGCTCGCACCCATTTTTCAATTTGAAAATGAATTTATTTAATTTATGGTTTTTGGAAATTTTAAATATACCAAAAAATCATATTTTCGAGTCCATAGGATGTTTTGTACTACTTGATAGGAGTCGTATTCCGCAGTGATACAGCTGACGTTTATTTTCGTTTTTCAAACGAAAACTCTCCCTTTTCAGTGTAAATTAGTTAATGAATAATTTTTTTTTTCAATGTTTATATTTAAGTACTTATTCAAAATTTGATCGAGTTTAGTTATTACAATTTTAATGCTAAGAATGATTGTCTTTAAAAGCGGTTTTATAAATATATAAATCGGGTGTGATATTGGATTTAGAGTTTATTATGCTTGGGCCGTTTTCACAAATTAGATGTAATATGTTCATATTTGAGTATGTTAAAAATTTCCAAAAATCAGATTTCGAATCACTGCATTAATGAAAAATAAAATTTGGGCGAGCACCATACTTGATAAATCATCCTGTATATCTATTATATTCAATCTGGTCTTCATCGCACTACAGGTGTTTCGCATCGAACCGTAAACGCGAGTGTGCGCGCACGCGCGCTCACACACACATACACACAGACACGCACACACATACAACGTTCTCACTAAATGTATAATTTAATGTGCAAGAGTCGCGTATGGCGTATATGTATATGAGACGTATGGTGGTAGGTAACAACGCTTATGACTTTTTAATGATTGTTTTGCCCGAAAACGTAATAACAATATATAGTGTATAATAAACAATACTATAACAATAATAACACGGTGTTGCGACGAGCCACTCTATCAGCGTACACCGCGACGTACCCATGTACAGCTGCAGCATGCCTGCGCGTTACAAACGAGAAACAAAA